TATTGACTGAATTTATTAATAAAGCATTTTGTCTTTTCCTTGAATATTGTTTTCATGCAGCCGTTCCACCAATTGATTAAATTTCCATTGGGATCGTATTCACTGCCTATCCATATATACCGGTATACATCGGACAATACAAATTCTTTAGTAGTTTAAACATTTCAAATATTTGTGTCAATCAAACCCTGGTCATCGAATCCATGTGTGTATTCGTGTCCAATTACCTTAACATTAACAACAGAGAAGTACATAAATATTATATTTTTCTCATAAGTTATATTGTCTCAAGTTATATACCACTCCTATAGATCCAAAATTGAGATAAGAGGGCACTTGGTTTCGGAAGAATGGCTGACTTAATATGCCGGCCGGTATTGCTATCAATCAATAAACATAAATTTCAACAAATTACTTCAATTAATACAAAGTTTATTACTGATTGTATTTTGTGTGGGATCGTAGTATGCGTTCACTTTTGCAGGATATGTGGGCCAACTGTTTATCGATTTTAATATTAAACTTTAGTTAATTAATAACTTTATAAAACTAGTATAAAACTTAAATTCACCTCAAAGTGATATTAACTGGTTTACGTAACTGTTCAAACATATTAAACACAGACATAGTCTGCAAGTATAGCAAACTCTCAAACGCTTTCCTTTTGTCTACAATTTGTGTCTATTTTTAATACTTGTTTTAATAATTAAAAGGCTTTAAATAAATGGTTATTAAAACTTAATTACCAAATTATACAATTTGTCCAATTGTTTGTTATCTAACATCCAATCCGGATAACCGATGTCTTCTACAACAGCACTCAGTTTTTCAATGGATTTATTTTTGGTGATGTCATCCAACCAATCGTTATCCTTTAGGGATCTTTTCAGTGCTCTTCGCACATATTTAACCACAGTTTTGGCCTAAATTATCATTTTTACAACCCTTACCTTTAAAATAGCTTAATTGTAACGAACCTCTTGTCGTGATATATCACTGAAATGGTTGTCCACATATTTCCTACTGTAAGCAAATGGCAGATAGCTTTCCAATGCCTCGATACAGTGTTTAGTTAGGGGTACCGCTGTCTTAACACCCTTGGCCACTTTATTGAATTCATACTCAAGTTGCCTAAAACTTTCAGTCGTATAAACGGCTAGTTTTTTAACTATGAGCCAACCCATGTGGTTAGCAATCACTCGACTCGGAGTAGTGACCACTAGTCGGGTCACTTCCCTATAGTAAGCCAGGTCATCCACAATAAGTCTGTCCTTAATGCTTAATCTTATATTTGAATTCAATTTCTTGTAGACAAATTGTGCGACTTTTAGCCAATCAGTCCTATTGCCTGTCAATGAATTCAATTCTTTGAATGTCATCCTATTATACCATACTTTCGATTCTCTCATGTCTTCTGGTTTTGTCGATAACTTTTTAAATTTAAAATAAAATTACAATTAAATAATAATAATTTTAGTGTTTATATTAATATACTTTTGCTAGTTTTGACTCGAAAGCCAAAAGTTCTTTAATATCAGTTTGAGTAATGCTGTCATCATAACCACCCAATAGTAATGCCGACCCCAGTATGTAATTCTTGTATGCGCTCACAATATTTGAGTGGACAGATGTATCAATCAACTGATTGCGACCTAAACCAAACTCAGGTACACTAAACTAAAAACAATTTTCGTAATCATATACCCTATAAAATTATTCTCTAATATATTACAAATAAACTATTGATATTTGTTTGGTTAGCATCGGGAAACACAGCCATTTGAAACAAAGCGGGTAAACCTGTGTCAGTACTTTTAATTAGTTTTACGGATAATTAACATATGATTGAGTGAATGGAATAACGAGTTATCTCTATATCAAAGCACTATGTATTGAACTATTAAGTATTCATATAGAGCAGCTATGCTGAACTCAGATTATAAGTTAGTGGAAAAAGGTTTCGATATTTCCAGAAATTGCTGACAGTATTTCGGGAATATAGGAAATTCCATGGAGAGTATAATTAAAATTAAACAAGGTTTATT